TACGGGAACGGCAGTGTGATGCATTAGCGAACAAACTTATAAGCTATATTTTAGTACCATTAAGTTAGATCGCACAAGTATTACTTTAAAGTTATATGACGGTTCATCACTTAGACCTTTAGGATTAATCACACCGGAAGTTTGTTACGGTGGAGAAAAAAATAATTAGAATTGTTTGTTGTTAAAGGAGGAACCACACCCTTGTTGGGCAGGCAGTGGTTATCTGAATTAAAAATAAAATTACCATTACTCACCAACTGCCATAATTGGAGAGTAACCAAGGTAAATTAGATGATCAATTGAAAAATTTGTTTTCCAGATATAAAGAATTATTTGATGGAGGGCTGGGACGGTACACGGGCGGCAAGGCGACGTTAAGAATCCGCGAGGGGGGCAGCGCCGGTGTTTCATCGCGCGCGGCCGATACCGTACGCGCTGCGCGAGCGCGTTGACGCCGAGCTGGACGCGATGCTGCGCGACGGCGTCATCGAGCCCGTCGACGGCTCCGACTGGGCCTCGCCGCTGGTACCGGTAAACAAAGCTGACGGTTCGTTGAGAATTTGTGCGGACTTTAAGGCGACGATAAACCCTGTTTTGTTAGTTGATCGATATCCCTTACTTAGAGTTGAGGACTTAATTGTTAGGTTGAGTTGGTCGAAATATTTTTCAAAAATTGATCTGTCTTAAGCCTATAATCAGATAGAGCTAGACGATACTAAAAAGTTAACCGTAGTTAATACGCACTGCAGCTTATTTCAGTATAATATTATAGGTTAGTGTATGGGCTAGCATCGAGTGCTGGAATATTTCAACGTATTATGTATAATTTGTTAAAGGACATCCCCAATGTCGAAGTATTTTTAGACATCATAATCGGCGGGAAAAAAAAATTTCTACCACCTTCAAGCTCTAGAAGCTGTCTTTAGCAGGTTACATAAGAACGGATTGAAATTAAAAAATCATAAATGTATATTTTTATGTAAACGAAGTGCAGTTTATAGGGTATGTACTTAGTAAAGACGGGGTAAAACAGACCCGAAAAAGATAGAAGCAATTGCTAAGCTACCTAGGCCTTGTAACGTGACCGAGTTACGGTCTTTTTTGGGTTTAGTAAATTTCTACCCAAAATTTATTAAAAACATGAGTAGTAGGCTCGTACCATTATACCAATTACTAAAAAAAGTCAGAATTGGTTTTGGTTGAAGGAATTTGAGCGCGCGTTTGTTGAAGTCAAAAATGTATTAATCAGCGCGGAAGTATTAGCTCACTACGACCCCCCAGCGGCCTGTTAGAGTAACGTGCGACGCGAGCGACAGAGGGATAGGGGCCGTGTTGTCGCAGCCGAGTGACGACGGCAGTCGCGAGCGCCCCGTGGCCTATGCGTCACGCACGCTTTTTCTTTGCGCCCGAAGCAAATATGGGTAACCCTCCGGAAAGCGGGGGAGGGAGGTTGAGAATGCTCATAGCATACCACGCAGCCGGCTGCGTGGTTATGTGGTGACTCTTACCCACTAAACTCAACCTTTTAGGAATTTGAACCTTTTAGGAACCTTTTAGAAATCTCTAAGCCATATACGAACGCGACCCTCCTTGGCAGAAAGGAGGGCGCAAGCGGTGAAAAGCCGCTTAGAAGAGTGCCTTATTAAGGCAAATTAAGGGATGTTATGTAGGCTCGGCTTGAGCCGCCAGGAGGCAGTTCAGGTCAGCCGAAAGATTGTTGGGGGGGTCCGAGAAAGAGTTTCTCGGTCTGCGCACACTATAGCGAGTGTGGATAGGGGCTGCATAGGCAGCTGTCTCATGGCTGTCTCAGCTGGTGGGACTCTGAGGCTTTGAAAAATCTCTCAGAGAGTGATTTAAGGAACTGCTGGATTGTTGGGAGCTTTAAGTCTCGATGTAGGTCGGCATTACGGACATAATAGGGCGAGTTAGTGGCCCTACGACAGAATAGACTGTCACGCACGCTTAACGACGCCGAGAAAAACTACTCGCAGATACACCGCGAGGCATTAGCGATTATATTTGCCGTAAATAAATTCCATCAGTATTTGTACGGTCGGCATTTACCTCTGCGCACAGATCACAAGCCGCTTGTCCATTTTTTGACCTAACACAGGTATACCGACTGTGGTATGGTATGGTATGGCGAGTCGGATGCAACGGTGGGCAATTATTTTGTCTCCTTATTCGTTTGATATTGAGTACATACGTACCGATGTGAACGGACTGGACGGCCAGTCGCGGCTGCCGCTGTCGTCTAGTAAGATGACTCGTGCGGCGCACGAGCTAACGTATTTGCATTTCGTTCAGCAATCATTGTTGTTAGATTATAATAAAGTTAAAAATGAAACCACTCGGGATCCAATTCTCTTGAAGGTTATTAGCTATATTCGGGATGAGTGGCCAGGGGAATATAATATTAAAGGTTTACAACCGTTTTTTAATTGTAAGAGTGAATTATATGATGAAATAGTATAGGAGGTAATAGTAAAAAGAAATAGTACGGAAATAGTAGAATAATGTGGGGGCATAGACTAGTTCCGGGGGCCTGTAAGGAAAAAGTTTTATGTATGATTCACAAACCTTAAATGGGCATTGTCAAATCCAAGGCTATAGCTCGAAGCTATGTTTGGTGGGCCGGTGTGGACGAGGCGGTGGAGCGGATATGCCGGGAGTGCGAGATATGCGCGGCGCAGGCGGATGCTCCGCCAAAACAGACGCCTCGTATGTGGCAATGGCCCAATTGTCCTTGGTCAAGGATACATTTAGATTTTATGGGGCCCGTTTTTGGAAAAACGTACTTGGTAGGTGTCGATGCGATGTCAAAATGGTTAGAAATCTATCAAGTAGCGAGTAAGGCAGCCACGGGGGTAACAGATAAGTTAAGGGAACTTTTCAGTCGTTGGGGACTACCCAAACAAATCGTTACGGACAACAGTCCCCCGTTCTCAAGTATAGAATTCAATAACTTCATGTGCAGTCAAGGTATCGATCATATTTTCACGGCTCCGTATCACCCTGCTTCGAACGGGTTAGCTGAGAACGCGGTAAGAACCTTGAAGCGGATTATAGAGAAAGCGGTGCAGTAAAAACAAAACATAGACAGAGCACTACAAACTTTTTGCTATATTATAGGAATAAAGGAATACAGGGAAAACAGGATTTAGAAGGTGCAACGACACCAGAAAGACTTAGCCAAAGGAGGAGACGGGAAACTGAATCCTTCGGAAGATGTTTGGTATAGACAATACTTGAAAAGGGAAAAGTGGGGCATTGGTCAAGTAGTAGACGTTAGGGGTCCTAACAGCTATACAATTAAGGAAAAAGGTGGCGAAATAATTCATAGACATATAGACCAATTGAAAAGGAGATCTTTAAGGACATCTATGACATGTCCTTACAATGACCCTCAGTCAGGTTGCAGCACAAATTTAACCAACGAGCCGACGGTGACACCAGAGGTGGGAAAGGCTCAGCCGGGTCGGTCGACGGATCGGGAGGACCCGTGGGGTGTTAGAAACCTCAGTCTGAAATCGGCTTAAAGGAGTCTGCAAGAGAGACGACCAGTGAGAACCCGGGTTCACAGGCGTATAAGGATACCTTGCCAAACGTTGTACCGCCCACAGAGCCTCGGAGTCGCCTTATAAGGCAATGCAGACTCAAAAAACTTATTATTGATTAAACGCTGATACAATAATGTTAAGTAGTTAAGTTATATTTAAGATTAGCATAGTAATAAATAAGTGTAGAGGAGTGTAATGTAAAGTAAGGTTAAGACTGATTATGTAGGTGACGGGTAAAGGGAGATAAGACAACGAATTCATTGTGGAATAAACGGATAGAGATTGAGTTACGTTTTTTTGTGTTCTCTCCGACTTTTATATACATTACACTGCACATAAGCACTTTGGTATTGGACAAGTTTGGTCACTCGATGGTAATATACACGTCAAGTTGCCTTGTGGTAAGCGTCATCGACTGTCGGACACCAAGGACCTCTATGAGCTCGTTATACAATATCAAAAGCCTGCTGCATCGGATCGACCACCTGATTCTACAACAAAGTAAGTTACACCAAATGTTAGCAGCAGTAGTGCACCAAAGTCGACGGCGAAGTCAAAGCACATAATATGCAACAAATAACTCACATCGATCATAAATCATGAAAAAAACACAGGAACTCATATTTTATACAGTCCAATGTGTAAAAATGACGTTTTATATTATAATTTCGATATATCGTGAAAATGGCAAAGTTGTTTTCAACAAAAATGGCGTTGCTCAATAAACAATACATAAAAAACAAATAAATATATACCTATGATTGATTTAAATTTATTAGAGGCTCCTACCGAGTGTATATTATTACGATGTCGATATAATTTTATGTTATATATTTCTTAACTTTATGAAAATTCGAGTGTTTTTTTTTTCTATATAGTAGTTATTTGAGTATAGTAATTTAGTATTTCATAATTCATATAATATGTAAATTTTATAAACTTTGTCTTATTACTTTTTTCGAGCTCCATGAAGACACAAACTGTTTACATGTGTGTACTACATACATTTTCAGAAAAAATTACGGAATTTGATGTTTTATAGTGTGACTCAGATGACGGCGATCTCAGCGAAGAAGAGAAGAAACATTTTTACATAATAATGTTATAAGTTATAATTATACTCTGGTCTTTGTTATAATTATAAATATGAGTGCATATAGTGGTTGTATAATGTGACTGAAGATTGAGGTCCCGGATTCAAATTCTGGGTCGGGTCAATAAAATTATTTGATGAGTTTTTCCGTCAAGAAATTCCCAGTAGCAGACCGGAGTCAGGAAGTTGGCGCTGTCTCACCCCCCGCACCTCGAAAAGCATGTACAGCCATTGCTCCTGCGCCTGATCTCTCTCCTGTCATGTTGGTTTACTATCCCGTTGGTATTTTTGTACAATTTGTATTAAAACAACCTATAAATTATCTACACCTATCATATAACGTGGAGATGAAACAAATATATGAAAAGTGTCTCCGGTTTTTCTCACTTACTAATTAAAAAACTGCAGTGCTATCCTGGTCAATTAAACTCATGACCATAAAAATATGTTATATTTGTATCTAAAATGTCTTATCATACTTGTTTTTCAGGAGCAGGATATGCAGTTTGCAATTTGCATGCATGTTTGATGAACACGGACAGCAGTTGGAGTGTCCAAGTCTCCCTTTAGGACCCGCACCTTCCACTGAGCCAGCACAAGTAAATCCGCCGTCGCCAGTGTCACCATCTTTTTCGTAAGTTAATTTTGTATTGTATTAATACTTTTTCAAAAAAGTATGTTAGTAGAAGCTACTACAGTCTTTAAACTTTGTCTATATTCAATGAAAATTCTTCACTCTTATTCTCAGAGATATTAAAAAGCCTCCGTCTTGGGAAGGACGAGTTAGAAACCTAGCGAGACTTTTGGTGAATAGAATTAATTAAGTTTATAGAATAAAATTTGTATGAAGACATTTAGAAACATCATGGTAGCAATCTCCTCATTCCCAAGGATTATTATCAATCACATACTTTTAAGTAGTATAATAACCTTTACTAAACAAATTTTGCTTACTAAAAATTTAAACTGATTGATAAGGGCTTATATTTTCTGGCATTTTGTTGTATAAGCATATACCTACGTTGCCCCATGAAGGAATTATACTAACTCTTTGGAGTCTAGTAACTGTTGTAACTAGTTACTATTTTCATCTTTCATTCTGTCTAGTTAATTTGTATATAATTATTCTACTACACACATTTATGTATACTTAATAGTTTATAGGAGCCGTGGTAGCTAGGATGGTAGCTGGTTAGTTTCATTGTATTAATTCTTATTTGAATAGATAGTTTTATCTTTAAGGGCATTTATGTAGCAGTAATTTATTCGAATCGGATATTTAATTTAGAATTCATCACAGGTATAAAAATGCAATACATGAACCGTTCGACGCCGCGTCGCCGCGACGTTCCCTACTCTATGGAGTATTTTAACGGGACTTTTACTGGCAGATAACATGTTTTTTTATAGGATAGGGTGACAAACGAGCACACAGTCAATCTGATGGTAAGTGGTTGCTGCGGCCCATAGACATCTACATTTATCCACGATGGCAAATCAAAATGCACTATTAAGATGGAATGCCTCGTTTCCAGTAAAAAGGGTCTCCGGTTCTCTACACTCACCATACGAAACACAACAGCATTAAGCTACTATTGTTTTAAGGAATAATTAGGGTTCGACCAAATAAATTAAAACCCATGAAATCTAATGGTCATAAATTAATACGCAGGCGAAGTTGCGGGGAACAGTCAGTATTACATAAAATATGTATGAACTAAATGATATTTAATTTTATATTTGTCTTGCAGGCGAAATGTTCGCCCAGAAGTGGTCGTTGTCGTTGGGCGGTTATATGAGGAGAACGGCAACGAGTACTTGTTGGCGGACCAGCATGAACTACATCACGAGGACGTGGTGGCGAGTTCGAGTGGTGGTGCTGTGCGAGGCGTGCGGCTCCCAGCGACGGCAGCAGCAGGCGGGCGTCAGGCACGAGGCGACCGCGGTGCTCGCGTCTCCGCCTCCTCATCGTGGTGGCGCGGCGACCACCTTGTACAAGTATGTGTGATAGACGATGATGTGCCTGAGGATTTGCGCAATAGGACTTTGATAGGGACACTCTAGAGCGGAGGGCCGAAAGGAGAAGGATGGAAGTAGATAATGATGATGTGGCGGATGACATTGGACATGCGGCCCTATTCGAAGGATATGCGACTTCTCTTCACTTTGATCGGCGCCCCATGGACTCCTTTCAAGGTGAAAAAAAGAAACATTTCTTCCGGAAAGAACAACAAGCCAACCACGCCGTCCGGAAGTGCGTGTGAGGCATTCATGGGAGCATCATGTCTCATATAGCGACAGAAATAAACCGGTACGCTGTAGAACTGGCTTGTATCAATGATACTTTTGCACAAAATTAGTATGAAACAAATACACGTAAGCTATTTATCCTGTTCTCTTTTTGGATGATGTTGGGGATCATCCATATGCCTTGCATAGCATTTTGTTTTTCTGAAAATTCTCTATTGAAGACCAATGTTTTCCGCCAATTGTTTTCACGCCATAGGTATCAAAATTTGTGCCGCGTTCTTCATTTTGTAAATAACGCAACACGTACACTTGATCCTCACCCTACCTTTCCTATTGAAGCATTTATAAATCATTTGAATTCCCGCTTTCAATCCGCTTATATTCTTAAACAGGAAATACGTATTGATGAGAGCTTAACTTTATGGAAAGGTAAACTCTCATTCATACAATATACAAAGACTAAAGCGGCCCGATTCGGAATAAAAACTTTAGAATGAAGCTCTTGAAGAGGCTTTTAAATGTTACCATTCTTAATTCTAGAATCCACTGAAAAATCTTGCAACGAACGGTAACATCATTTGCCTTTTCGTTTACAATTAGTTCAAGACATTATTGATAAACACCTCCATCAAGTGCCGCACTGTCACCGTGAGATTAACCCATGTTCGCGACACATTCGCGACACAAGCGTCTCAAGGGCAGATCGCGACAGCGATTTGCCCTCGAGACGCTTGACGAACAGTGTTCACTGGCCTATCAGATTTCAGCTTCACCAACTGCTTGTTTCACTCTATCGCCTATTAATCATAACTGACAACTAACATCACGGTGGAAAATAACGTTTTTGTCAATGTCTAATAAGTAATCGACGTGACAAAGTAAGTGATTTTTCACTGTTGTTTTTATAGACCTGTAACGTCGGTCATGGTTATTAAAAATAATAATTCCCCAAGCCTAGTTGCCTTTTACGACACAGATCATGATATGGATATTCGTACATTACATTGTTTTGAGAAATTATCAATCACAGTGTAATGAAACGATCATTGATAAATTCTCAAAACATTTCACTTGCCAACGTGAATTGTCGACGTCTTGCAATCGTCGTGACTAGCGCTCACTTGACTTTCATACAAACAATTCGATATTTTAAGTGTTGAACTGGTAATTTCTCAAAACATTTTATTTATCGACAACATATTGCAATCTTCGGTACCCTAGCGCTGACTTTTAAAGAAAAAATATTGTCTTTGTCTTGAACATAGGTTTGACTAATTGGTTTATTAAACTGTCAAGTCAATCATGAGTGGTTAAATTACATCAAATTATCCCTATTTTTATGAGTTATTTTCACCTTTAGACTAATATAAATTGTCGGACTACTAGGAAGAAGGGTGTCCGATACTCGTTGCTAAAACTACGAAATACAGCATTATTATGCTATACGTCCTCAGAGGTGACAACGCATCTGCATTTTGATTCTTAATAGAGGATAAATGTAGATGTCTTTGAGGCACAGCATCCACTTACCATCAGGTGGACTGTTTGCTCCTTTAAATAATACTAGTTTTTACGGATTTTTTGCTTATTGAGTTTTATCGAGTCTGCAGTCTGTGAACACGTACAGGATAGCCTCCGTCACTACATTAGATTTGATAGACTACAAATCGTCCCTAAAGAACACCGATTCCTTTCAAGGATGATTCGCGAGGCTATTGAAATCAAAAAACATCCTAATTTCAATAGAGAAGATGGCTGGGTGCTACCATGTGCTTGGTATCCTATAATAAATAAAATCAAATCCCAACCCAGACATACAACTGCAAGACTTCAAGATACCGTAAGTTCATACTGTGTAGATCGGAACAAAAGTTAAATTTTAATCTATGGTAACTGCGGTTAACTATGACATCTGGACGTTCATCTCAGTCCCCCTTTGATCATGGGTGCTGTAAAGTGCTCGAAACGTCGGGTATTTAAAAAATTAAATATACGCGATAAAATCCGTAAAAACTGGTATTATTTAAATGGGTAGTGTTCGCGTATATATAAGAAATCATTGTGTGCTCGTTTGTCAGCCTTATTCTATAAAGTAAAAATTTTTTGTTTAACTGTTAATTATGAAATAAAACACAGATTATTTTTGATAAAATAAAAACACGTTTTGCTTTGACGTGCACTCCACAGACTACTGAAGTCACGATTGCAATCACACAAAGTTCACAGATCATTAAGTCAACCTTAGTAATTATTTGTTGGCAACATTTTAAAATTCTTTGGCGACAATTGCCACGTATTAGTATTATATGCTCGTAAATCTCTACTATGTACGTTACTTATTAATTTGTGACAATGTACAACTGTTTGACCACATACTATTTTGTGTTTCAGGTTGGCAGAATTAACTTTAAACAATAAAATAAACACATATTAGGTTATAAATATTAGCTTAACGTATTTATATACAGATTTTTAATTTACTGTAGTTAACTTTGTAACTACATAGCAATTTTAATGAATAATAAAAAAGAAAAGCTCGCTAATACAGTACCGAACGTACCATCCCCATACCTGGCTAAAGAGGGTCCTCGAGCTGTACAAGATTGACTGTACAATTAGACTTCCTCGAGCAGTGTATGGGGCAGTAGAGTACGATAGTCTGTCATCTAGGCGAGCGGATAACAGCTGCGGAAAGCCACATAAGGATAAGAAGGGGTATAATCCAGGGCGACAGTCTGCGTCCAATCTGGGTCGGGAAGGCTAGTACTTCTAAGTGCTTGTTTTTCCTGGCCTCATGACCTTCGTGCATCGGACGCGGGGGCGTCTGTTGCGCAGATGTAATTGGAGGCCGTGGAGGAAGGCGCGCTATGTGTTCTGGTGCGCCTTATCAGCCTTTTGTTTTTTTTTGGATTATACTTTCACTTGTAATTTAGATTTTTTTTTACTAATTATGCTAATTATATGGCTTATCATTTACTGTAACTATTATTTTATTTATTAGATAAAATTTACAGAAGGATTTATTGAACTTGTTTACTGACGCGATTTAATCCTTTATCCTTCTCTTTCAATCTAATAGAAATTCAATTGGAGTTTCTAAACTGAATTGGTGGAGCATTATGTTTATATTTTTATGAGTACTTGAAAGTGAGAAATAGTCCTAAAACTCGAGTTTATTTCTTCACCGAATCAATGGAAATAAAATATCTTTAATGATTCTTCCTTAAACGACGAGATTATTTTTTCTCTATTTTCATTACTGGTAATTTAGTAGAGTAAACAACGTCAAAAAGAAGCGTTCACACAGAATGTTTTATATGAGATATTTTTTGTACAAAATTTAAGTGACAAACGAACTTGCTGTCTACCTGATCTTACCTAAGTGGCTACTGTAGACTGTAGACTACGGACACCTGCCACCAACTTTAAATAACAAAGCTACAGGTGCGTAACTATCTGAGGAATAAGATGCAATGCCTCAAAGAATGTAATTAGTAATAATATGAACAATAACAATGCAACATAGTGCTAGTATAATACAATCATTACATTAAATTCACACTGGGAATTTGCGTAACAACACAACTTTAAATGTTTCATGCAAGGTTCCATTTGTATGTATGGACTATGGAAAAAAAGGCAAACGAGCATGTGCATGCCGCTCTTGATTATATGTATTTTTATTAGATGCACTTAAATTATGAATACAGAATTTTTTTTTTTTTAGTAAAACACTATGATAGATGAAAGGTATCGACATGACGTGGATGAAAGTTAGAATCCTAATGAGACGTCTGGTATGTCAATCATTGGGTGACGCTTATGTCAAGCAGTAGACGGATTCATATAAAACAAGAAGGAATAACTATATTTACATTGTAGTTATTCCTATGCAAATCAAAATTAAGAACAGCGTTGGAAACAAAATTCGTTTGATGTAAACATTTGTCGGTTTCAAGCAAATGTTGAAATGAGACTTGCTACACTCTTCAACAGAGTGTAGGATAATAAGGAAATGCTATTGTGGAGCAAAAGACATTAAACATGCATCTGTTTCTGGCTGCATAAACGTCTGTCTGAGAAACTTGCGCTGCTTGGTCTTAAATAGAGATTGCATCCTGGGATACCGGGATCCCGAAAATAAATTGGCTCAGTTCAAGATAGAACTTGATGCAGACATCGTTGATGTGACAAGTGATGGAGCTAGTGTCATGAAAAAGCTGGGAAAATTGATTAGCGCTGAACAACAACTTTGTTTCGCACACGCAATCCACTTGGCGGTTCTTGATGTAATGTACAAGAAGAAGTCCAAACAACCCGAAGAAAGGAACGTCAGTGAGGACAACAATGAGGACAACAGTGCGGACAACAATGAGGACAACAATGAGGACAACAGTGCGGACAACAATGAGGACAACAATGAGGACAACAGTGCGGACAACAATGAGGACAACAGTGCGGACAACAGCGAGAACGAGAGCGATTACGAGAGAGAACGAAGACGGTGGTGTAGTGATCGACGAGGAAGAAGACGAGGAAACCAATTTAAGTTGCAGTGAACTCGCGAAAACAATAAAAAAAGTACGAACAGTAGTTCGCCTTTTTTATAAGGTCTGCAAAGAAGAACGAAGACCATCTTCAAAAGTACGTAAACGCTGAGTTTCCGGGAAAGATCTTGTTCTTCCTGACGTCAAAACCAGATGGAACAGTTTAGTGACGATGCTGGAAAGGTTTTTGAAGTTGAGACATTGTGTACAGAAAGCCCTTATCGACTTGAAATCGGAGATATTTTTCACCGAGAGAGAGTTTAAATTACTGACGGCAACCGTGGAAGCACTTGCACCGATAAAAGTAGCTGTGGAAAGCCTGTGTCGAAGAGACGCAAATCTGCTTTTAGCAGATACAGTGCTGGACTTCATGATTACCGACTTTTTCTTCTTGGATAAACGAATATCTAAAATATGTATTACATATATTATACGATTATTTGTCGACATCATCATATAATCAGACCCAACCCGTCCCACATTGCCTTCTACTGTCAACTTTTCTTGTAGTAACACCTATCTTGTACTTCAAACGTGAAGGATCTGACGGTTTATATGTGTAAATAATTTGTCGTCCGTCTGATGCTAGAACATAGTTCACTTTTATGACAGCGACACGCACATTGTTAAAGTTACAAGTGACTTTGAGCAATTCCATTAGGTGCGAGAGATGACTAGAGGTGAATAACTTGAGTTCAATTGTGTTGAAAACTTAAGCCACTTGAAATTCTTTTATGCAACTCACCACAGATATATTTAGAGAGCATTCCAAGAAAAGCAAACCAGATTTTATTTAAACAAAAACCTTCGAAAATATCCATTTGTATTATTCATTTTCCGCATTACTTACCACCCCACAGTCAACCTTGTACGCTTTGAAGTTAATAGAAGTCCTAAGTAAAGCATGAGACGTCGCGTAGAATGTCTTTCTTTAATGTATTCCGGCGACATATTAAATAATATTGGCTGACTTTAGCGTCGGGAAAAAATTAGGTGTAATATGTGTCTGACGTTAAAGCCAATAGAATAGCAATTTTTTTTTCATTTAAAAATATATAAATATAGCTATTAAAATATGGAAATTCAAATGTGTGTACCCTACTTTACGTGTGGCAAATATCTATGAATCCCTGGAGCCCTTTACCTTGAAGCCGACCGCTACGTAAAACACTTACTTCAAATGATACGTTGCATAAATAGGAAGTTTGAAGAGTTTTGAATAAATTTAATCTATATAAACATGATATATGCATACCGTGTAGTGACGGTGTAATAACATACACTATCTCATATCATCCCGTGGATGTAACAGGTGACAGAGTGAACAAATCAGTGAATTTCTTGTAACGATTAAAAATTAAAAACTTACGGTTGGCAACAACAAGCGTGGTAACTATGACAAATATCCCCCCTTATGACGAAATCTATGGAGAAGCCAGCGGTGGACTTTAATAATATGTTGTAACGGTAACCGTATGAAAGCATAGCTTATTATACCGTAAGATGTAGGATTCATACTATGTAACATGGTATGTTCAGAGGGCTTAAACATTTTCTTTAAACTGTCGGTAGTCGAAGTAAATGTAAACATTGCATTTGTTAAAATACGTCATGTTGCATTTTGCGCAAAGTAGACTGTTGGCGTTTTTCATAATTGTTTTTGGGAAAGTTATATAAAAATGCTTATAACTTCTCTTACACAAGGTTTACCACATTCAGTTTCACCTTAAATAACGGATGTGACAATATTTTTATTTCTTATTTACTATAAATTATGTTTAATCAAATATAATGTTCATTATTTATTATCACTTAATTTTTCCGTGATTATAGTGCTTTGTGATGAAATTTTCTGTATTTTTTTTACAAAAATAAATTTACAGAAACATTCAATTTAAAAAAAAAAGTATGTTACATAATTCCTTACGGGCATTACATATATGGTACTGTATATTCCCTGTTATTCCTCTGAACCTGTTTAATTTTTTTATTTTGATCTTTGTAACTTAGATTAATCTGGATTTAGACTTCGCACTAATAAAAATTATAGACATTTGAGCATTGTTTTCTAGTTAAATACTCTAGTACTACGCTTAACAAGATCTTACATACTACTAGTGAATAGAAGTAGACGTATAAACCTAGACACATCGATAATTAATTTTAAATTCGTAGTGAATTGCAAATATGCTTATCATGCTGCGGGTGTCGTAAGACGCGACGCGGGGAACAAGTCAGGAGACGGGCAGCACCGTCTTCCTAACACCGACTTCTAAGTTTTTGAACGTCATTTTGAACAGATTATGGAAATGTTATATGTATGAATGATTACTTGTCCCATTTTTTATGAATACAAGGCTAGTATTTAAGCAGTCTTCAGGATCAATTTGATAGAAATGATTTTTCTATTATAACATTAATTATTCTTCTTTTCTTTACTATTCTTCATAAGACCGTAAAATTCTACTTTAAGACGCATGTCTCTCCTTATCGTCACGCTTGTCAGACGGATTAACGATGGCGTAAGCAGACGCTTGCCTCATATCAAGGATCTCCTAGGTGTGCGTTACTTGCAGTATACAGGGCTGCAATTAACCGCCGGTACGACATACTCCGCCGAACGTCGAGTCCCGTGATTCCGTGAGGCGTCGAGGTCACCAGCCCCTAGGTGATTCTTGGCACTTTATGCGTTTCGTTTATTCTGTGCCTAGTCGCGCATTAAAGTGCCACCGTTGCACTTCCCCCAACCCTTTCGTTGTGAAAGGGGTAGGCAGTGCCCATAGTGTGAACAGTCCTTATAACAATATCACCACCATCCGCGTCGCGCATCAACATCTGCTGCCGATCGTTTGGAAGTTAGATAGGGCCTCAATTAGATTACCGCTGACACTGACTGGTAGGTTAGGATGTCAGGGAATGATAAGGGGGAACCTCCTCCGAGAGCAAGAAAACCACCGGACCGACCAGGCGTTTTGGATAGACCCATCGCCTATAGGGACATTTTTAACCCGGAGAGGATGAGAGTTGTCTCATCCTACTCCCAAATACCCACCCGGAAACCTTCGTCGCCGGGTAAGGAGTCCGCACCTAGGGTTGCACTCTCGCCCATCGTACCTGAGTGTACGACTGGGCGTGAACCGCTGCCCTCTCAGCCTCAGCGGGCCATGAAGACACCACGAAGGCATACGCCTCCTGAGACCGAAGCCTCACTCTATGAGAAGAGGCAGCGTATTGGATAACCATCGGAATCATCATCAGCGTCTTCGGATGATGAAGAGCCCCAAGCGGAGACTAGGAAGAAGTCCATACCTCACCTCCTAAGTCACCATCACCACCGCAACAGCCACCATCCATCTCACCGGACCGACGCAGTCACGACTCGGCCCAGTTTGAGCAAGGAGGTGAGGAGTCCTACAGCTGGGGCTCGACAACATATGCAACCCTAGCTGCATCAGCCGGAAAGTCATCTCCGGTACAAACTACCAACCCGTCCGGGTTAGCTCATGATGATGGACAGCGCCCATCAACGAGCTATGCCCACATGGCTGCAGCCCCGGCAGTACCACGACCGCAATCGGCGGAGCAACCTCCAACTGAGAAGGAAAAAGAGAAAAGATATCCGCCGATTGTCGCAGAATGCCTCCCGGACTGGACCAGGCATTTTAAGGTCCTTAATGAGAAGTTGGGCCATCCACCTAATGCCCGTCCGTTCGGGAAAGGAGTTAGGTTCACTCCACAGAGCCCGGATGAGTTCCGTACCATACAGAGGTACATGGTAGAACTCTCCGAAAAGGATAAGACAATGTCGTGGTACTGTTACACACCGGCAGAGGAGAAGCCCACCAAAGTGGGCATCCGTGGCCTGCCTGTGGGCACCGACGTAAAATTGATTGAGGAGGCTATTCGGGCAAAAGGCTTCCCCATCAATTATGTGAAGGCCATACCACCACGTAGGGGCAGACCGGGCTGCCTCTACTATGCACAGCTGGAGCATCTGAGCCTGGAACGGCTACAGCAATTTTACCAACTCGACGAGCTCCTATATATGAGAGGAGTCGTCATCGAAGCCTGGCAGAGGAAGACCGGACCGGCACAATGCCACCGTTGCCAGGCTTTCGGACATGCCTCCGCTAATTGTTTCAGGCCAGTGAAATGCGTTCGCTGTGCCGGTGAACATATTGCCAGCCTTTGCCCAAGGGGTAGAGAGGAGGAACCAAAGTGCGCAAATTGCGCCAAGAACCACACAGCCAACGATCGCCGCTGCCCGGTCCTGAGGAGGATAGCCAGGAAGCAGGGGATCGTATTACCTGGGCTCATGGGACTCTCTGGGACCCTCAGTCAGGTTGCAGCACAAATTTAACCAACGAGCCGACGGTGACACCAGAGGTGGGAAAGGCTCAGCCGGGTCGGTCGACGGATCGGGAGGACCCGTGGGGTGTTAGAAACCTCAGTCTGAAATCGGCTTAAAGGAGTCTGCAAGAGAGACGACCAGTGAGAACCCGGGTTCACAGGCGTATAAGGATACCTTGCCAAACGTTGTACCGCCCACAGAGCCTCGGAGTCGCCTTATAAGGCAATGCAGACTCAAAAAACTTATTATTGATTAAACGCTGATACAATAATGTTAAGTAGTTAAGTTATATTTAAGATTAGCATAGTAATAAATAAGTGTAGAGGAGTGTAATGTAAAGTAAGGTTAAGACTGATTATGTAGGTGACGGGTAAAGGGAGATAAGACAACGAATTCATTGTGGAATAAACGGATAGAGATTGAGTTACGTTTTTTTTGTGCTCTCAGACTTTTATATACATTACACTGCACATAAGCACTTTGGTATTGGACAAGTTTGGTCACTCGATGGTAATATACACGTCAAGTTGCCTTGTGGTAAGCGTCATCGACTGTCGGACACCAAGGACCTCTATGAGCTCGTTATACAATATCAAAAGCCTGCTGCATCGGATCGACCACCTGATTCTACAACAAAGTAAGTTACACCAAATGTTAGCAGCAGTAGTGCACCAAAGTCGACGGCGAAGTCAAAGCACATAATATGCAACAAATAACTCACATCGATCATAAATCATGAAAAAAACACAGGAACTCATATTTTATACAGTCCAATGTGTAAAAATGACGTTTTATATTATAATTTCGATATATCGTGAAAATGGCAAAGTTGTTTTCAACAAAAATGGCGTTGCTCAATAAACAATACATAAAAAACAAATAAATATATACCTATGATTGATTTAAATTTATTAGAGGCTCCTACCGAGTGTATATTATTACGATGTCGATATAATTTTATGTTATATATTTCTTAACTTTATGAAAATTCGAGTGTTTTTTTTTTCTATATAGTAGTTATTTGAGTATAGTAATTTAGTATTTCATAATTCATATAATATGTAAATTTTATAAACTTTGTCTTATTACTTTTTTCGAGCTCCATGAAGACACAAACTGTTTACATGTGTGTACTACATACATTTTCAGAAAAAATTACGGAATTTGATGTTTTATAGTGTGACTCAGATGACGGCGATCTCAGCGAAGAAGAGAAGAAACATTTTTACATAATAATGTTATAAGTTATAATTATACTCTGGTCTTTGTTATAATTATAAATATGAGTGCATATAGTGGTTGTATAATGTGACTGAAGATTGAGGTCCCGGATTCAAATTCTGGGTCGGGTCAATAAAATTATTTGATGAGTTTTTCCGTCAAGAAATTCCCAGTAGCAGACCGGAGTCAGGAAGTTGGCGCTGTCTCACCCCCGCACCTCGAAAAGCATGTACAGCCATTGCTCCTGCGCCTGATCTCTCTCCTGTCATGTTGGTTTACTATCCCGTTGGTATTTTTGTACAATTTGTATTAAAACAACCTATAAATTATCTACACCTATCATATAACGTGGAGATGAAACAAATATATGAAAAGTGTCTCCGGTTTTTCTCACTTACTAATTAAAAAACTGCAGTGCTATCCTGGTCAATTAAACTCATGACCATAAAAATATGTTATATTTGTATCTAAAATGTCTTATCATACTTGTTTTTCAGGAGCAGGATATGCAGTTTGCAATTTGCATGCATGTTTGATGAACACGGACAGCAGTTGGAGTGTCCAAGTCTCCCTTTAGGACCCGCACCTTCCACTGAGCCAGCACAAGTAAATCCGCCGTCGCCAGTGTCACCATCTTTTTCGTAAGTTAATTTTGTATTGTATTAATACTTTTTCAAAAAAGTATGTTAGTAGAAGCTACTACAGTCTTTAAACTTTGTCTATATTCAATGAAAATTCTTCACTCTTATTCTCAGAGATATTAAAAAGCCTCCGTCTTGGGAAGGACGAGTTAGAAACCTAGCGAGACTTTTGGTGAATAGAATTAATTAAGTTTATAGAATAAAATTTGTATGAAGACATTTAGAAACATCATGGTAGCAATCTCCTCATTCCCAAGGATTATTATCAATCACATACTTTTAAGTAGTATAATAACCTTTACTAAACAAATTTTGCTTACTAAAAATTTAAACTGATTGATAAGGGCTTATATTTTCTGGCATTTTGTTGTATAAGCATATACCTACGTTGCCCCATGAAGGAATTATACTAACTCTTTGGAGTCTAGTAACTGTTGTAACTAGTTACTATTTTCATCTTTCATTCTGTCTAGTTAATTTGTATATAATTATTCTACTACACACATTTATGTATACTTAATAGTTTATAGGAGCCGTGGTAGCTAGGATGGTAGCTGGTTAGTTTCATTGTATTAATTCTTATTTGAATAGATAGTTTTATCTTTAAGGGCATTTATGTAGCAGTAATTTATTCGAATCGGATATTTAATTTAGAATTCATCACAGGTATAAAAATGCAATACATGAACCGTTCGACGCCGCGTCGCCGCGACGTTCCCTACTCTATGGAGTATTTTAACGGGACTTTTACTGGCAGATAACATGTTTTTTTATAGGATAGGGTGACAAACGAGCACACAGTCAATCTGATGGTAAGTGGTTGCTGCGGCCCATAGACATCTACATTTATCCACGATGGCAAATCAAAATGCACTATTAAGATGGAATGCCTCGTTTCCAGTAAAAAGGGTCTCCGGTTCTCTACACTCACCATACGAAACACAACAGCATTAAGCTACTATTGTTTTAAGGAATAATTAGGGTTCGACCAAATAAATTAAAACCCATGAAATCTAATGGTCATAAATTAATACGCAGGCGAAGTTGCGGGGGAACAGTCAGTATTACATAAAATATGTATGAACTAAATGATATTTAATTTTATATTTGTCTTGCAGGCGAAATGTTCGCCCAGAAGTGGTCGTTGTCGTTGGGCGGTTATATGAGGAGAACGGCAACGAGTACTTGTTGGCGGACCAGCATGAACTACATCACGAGGACGTGGTGGCGAGTTCGAGTGGTGGTGCTGTGCGAGGCGTGCGGCTCCCAGCGACGGCAGCAGCAGGCGGGCGTCAGGCACGAGGCGACCGCGGTGCTCGCGTCTCCGCCTCCTCATCGTGGTGGCGCGGCGACCACCTTGTACAAGTATGTGTGATAGACGATGATGTGCCTGAGGATTTGCGCAATAGGACTTTGATAGGGACACTCTAGAGCGGAGGGCCGAAAGGAGAAGGATGGAAGTAGATAATGATGATGTGGCGGATGACATTGGACATGCGGCCCTATTCGAAGGATATGCGACTTCTCTTCACTTTGATCGGCGCCCCATGGACTCCTTTCAAGGTGAAAAAAAGAAACATTTCTTCCGGAAAGAACAACAAGCCAACCACGCCGTCCGGAAGTGCGTGTGAGGCATTCATGGGAGCATCATGTCTCATATAGCGACAGAAATAAACCGGTACGCTGTAGAACTGGCTTGTATCAATGATACTTTTGCACAAAATTAGTATGAAACAAATACACGTAAGCTATTTATCCTGTTCTCTTTTTGGATGATGTTGGGGATCATCCATATGCCTTGCATAGCATTTTGTTTTTCTGAAAATTCTCTATTGAAGACCAATGTTTTCCGCCAATTGTTTTCACGCCATAGGTATCAAAATTTGTGCCGCGTTCTTCATTTTGTAAATAACGCAACACGTACACTTGATCCTCACCCTACCTTTCCTATTGAAGCATTTATAAATCATTTGAATTCCCGCTTTCAATCCGCTTATATTCTTAAACAGGAAATACGTATTGATGAGAGCTTAACTTTATGGAAAGGTAAACTCTCATTCATACAATATACAAAGACTAAAGCGGCCCGATTCGGAATAAAAACTTTAGAATGAAGCTCTTGAAGAGGCTTTTAAATGTTACCATTCTTAATTCTAGAATCCACTGAAAAATCTTGCAACGAACGGTAACATCATTTGCCTTTTCGTTTACAATTAGTTCAAGACATTATTGATAAACACCTCCATCAAGTGCCGCACTGTCACCGTGAGATTAACCCATGTTCGCGACACATTCGCGACACAAGCGTCTCAAGGGCAGATCGCGACAGCGATTTGCCCTCGAGACGCTTGACGAACAGTGTTCACTGGCCTATCAGATTTCAGCTTCACCAACTGCTTGTTTCACTCTATCGCCTATTAATCATAACTGACAACTAACATCACGGTGGAAAATAACGTTTTTGTCAATGTCTAATAAGTAATCGACGTGACAAAGTAAGTGATTTTTCACTGTTGTTTTTATAGACCTGTAACGTCGGTCATGGTTATTAAAAATAATAATTCCCCAAGCCTAGTTGCCTTTTACGACACAGATCATGATATGGATATTCGTACATTACATTGTTTTGAGAAATTATCAATCACAGTGTAATGAAACGATCATTGATAAATTCTCAAAACATTTCACTTGCCAACGTGAATTGTCGACGTCTTGCAATCGTCGTGACTAGCGCTCACTTGACTTTCATACAAACAATTCGATATTTTAAGTGTTGAACTGGTAATTTCTCAAAACATTTTATTTATCGACAACATATTGCAATCTTCGGTACCCTAGCGCTGACTTTTAAAGAAAAAATATTGTCTTTGTCTTGAACATAGGTTTGACTAATTGGTTTATTAAACTGTCAAGTCAATCATGAGTGGTTAAATTACATCAAATTATCCCTATTTTTATGAGTTATTTTCACCTTTAGACTAATATAAATTGTCGGACTACTAGGAAGAAGGGTGTCCGATACTCGTTGCTAAAACTACGAAATACAGCATTATTATGCTATACGTCCTCAGAGGTGACAACGCATCTGCATTTTGATTCTTAATAGAGGATAAATGTAGATGTCTTTGAGGCACAGCATCCACTTACCATCAGGTGGACTGTTTGCTCCTTTAAATAATACTAGTTTTTACGGATTTTTTGCTTATTGAGTTTTATCGAGTCTGCAGTCTGTGAACACGTACAGGATAGCCTCCGTCACTACATTAGATTTGATAGACTACAAATCGTCCCTAAAGAACACCGATTCCTTTCAAGGATGATTCGCGAGGCTATTGAAATCAAAAAAACATCCTAATTTCAATAGAGAAGATGGCTGGGTGTTACCATGTGCTTGGTATCCTATAATAAATAAAATCAAATCCCAACCCAGACATACAACTGCAAGACTTCAAGATACCGTAAGTTCATACTGTGTAGATCGGAACAAAAGTTAAATTTTAATCTATGGTAACTGCGGTTAACTATGACATCTGGACGTTCATCTCAGTCCCCCTTTGATCATGGGTGCTGTAAAGTGCTCGAAACGTCGGGTATTTAAAAAATTAAATATACGCGATAAAATCCGTAAAAACTGGTATTATTTAAATGGGTAGTGTTCGCGTATATATAAGAAATCATTGTGTGCTCGTTTGTCAGCCTTATTCTATAAAGTAAAAATTTTTTTGTTTAACTGTTAATTATGAAATAAAACACAGATTATTTTTGATAAAATAAAAACACGTTTTGCTTTGACGTGCACTCCACAGACTACTGAAGTCACGATTGCAATCACACAAAGTTCACAGATCATTAAGTCAACCTTAGTAATTATTTGTTGGCAACATTTTAAAATTCTTTGGCGACAATTGCCACGTATTAGTATTATATGCTCGTAAATCTCTACTATGTACGTTACTTATTAATTTGTGACAATGTACAACTGTTTGACCACATACTATTTTGTGTTTCAGGTTGGCAGAATTAACTTTAAACAATAAAATAAACACATATTAGGTTATAAATATTAGCTTAACGTATTTATATACAGATTTTTAATTTACTGTAGTTAACTTTGTAACTACATAGCAATTTTAATGAATAATAAAAAGAAAAGCTCGCTAATACAGTACCGAACGTACCATCCCCATACCTGGCTAAAGAGGGTCCTCGAGCTGTACAAGATTGACTGTACAATTAGACTTCCTCGAGCAGTGTATGGGGCAGTAGAGTACGATAGTCTGTCATCTAGGCGAGCGGATAACAGCTGCGGAAAGCCACATAAGGATAAGAAGGGGTATAATCCAGGGCGACAGTCTGCGTCCAATCTGGGTCGGGAAGGCTAGTACTTCTAAGTGCTTGTTTTTCCTGGCCTCATGACCTTCGTGCATCGGACGCGGGGGCGTCTGTTGCGCAGATGTAATTGGAGGCCGTGGAGGAAGGCGCGCTATGTGTTCTGGTGCGCCTTATCAGCCTTTTGTTTTTTTTGGATTATACTTTCACTTGTAATTTAGATTTTTTTTTACTAATTATGCTAATTATATGGCTTATCATTTACTGTAACTATTATTTTATTTATTAGATAAAATTTACAGAAGGATTTATTGAACTTGTTTACTGACGCGATTTAATCCTTTATCCTTCTCTTTCAATCTAATAGAAATTCAATTGGAGTTTCTAAACTGAATTGGTGGAGCATTATGTTTATATTTTTATGAGTACTTGAAAGTGAGAAATAGTCCTAAAACTCGAGTTTATTTCTTCACCGAATCAATGGAAATAAAATATCTTTAATGATTCTTCCTTAAACGACGAGATTATTTTTTCTCTATTTTCATTACTGGTAATTTAGTAGAGTAAACAACGTCAAAAAGAAGCGTTCACACAGAATGTTTTATATGAGATATTTTTTGTACAAAATTTAAGTGACAAACGAACTTGCTGTCTACCTGATCTTACCTAAGTGGCTACTGTAGACTGTAGACTACGGACACCTGCCACCAACTTTAAATAACAAAGCTACAGGTGCGTAACTATCTGAGGAATAAGATGCAATGCCTCAAAGAATGTAATTAGTAATAATATGAACAATAACAATGCAACATAGTGCTAGTATAATACAATCATTACATTAAATTCACACTGGGAATTTGCGTAACAACACAACTTTAAATGTTTCATGCAAGGTTCCATTTGTATGTATGGACTATGGAAAAAAAGGCAAACGAGCATGTGCATGCCGCTCTTGATTATATGTATTTTTATTAGATGCACTTAAATTATGAATACAGAATTTTTTTTTTTTTAGTAAAACACTATGATAGATGAAAGGTATCGACATGACGTGGATGAAAGTTAGAATCCTAATGAGACGTCTGGTATGTCAATCATTGGGTGACGCTTATGTCAAGCAGTAGACGGATTCATATAAAACAAGAAGGAATAACTATATTTACATTGTAGTTATTCCTATGCAAATCAAAATTAAGAACAGCGTTGGAAACAAAATTCGTTTGATGTAAACATTTGTCGGTTTCAAGCAAATGTTGAAATGAGACTTGCTACACTCTTCAACAGAGTGTAGGATAATAAGGAAATGCTATTGTGGAGCAAAAGACATTAAACATGCATCTGTTTCTGGCTGCATAAACGTCTGTCTGAGAAACTTGCGCTGCTTGGTCTTAAATAGAGATTGCATCCTGGGATACCGGGATCCCGAAAATAAATTGGCTCAGTTCAAGATAGAACTTGATGCAGACATCGTTGATGTGACAAGTGATGGAGCTAGTGTCATGAAAAAGCTGGGAAAATTGATTAGCGCTGAACAACAACTTTGTTTCGCACACGCAATCCACTTGGCGGTTCTTGATGTAATGTACAAGAAGAAGTCCAAACAACCCGAAGAAAGGAACGTCAGTGAGGACAACAATGAGGACAACAGTGCGGACAACAATGAGGACAACAATGAGGACAACAGTGCGGACAACAATGAGGACAACAATGAGGACAACAGTGCGGACAACAATGAGGACAACAGTGCGGACAACAGCGAGAACGAGAGCGATTACGAGAGAGAACGAAGACGGTGGTGTAGTGATCGACGAGGAAGAAGACGAGGAAACCAATTTAAGTTGCAGTGAACTCGCGAAAACAATAAAAAAAGTACGAACAGTAGTTCGCCTTTTTATAAGGTCTGCAAAGAAGAACGAAGACCATCTTCAAAAGTACGTAAACGCTGAGTTTCCGGGAAAGATCTTGTTCTTCCTGACGTCAAAACCAGATGGAACAGTTTAGTGACGATGCTGGAAAGGTTTTTGAAGTTGAGACATTGTGTACAGAAAGCCCTTATCGACTTGAAATCGGAGATATTTTTCACCGAGAGAGAGTTTAAATTACTGACGGCAACCGTGGAAGCACTTGCACCGATAAAAGTAGCTGTGGAAAGCCTGTGTCGAAGAGACGCAAATCTGCTTTTAGCAGATACAGTGCTGGACTTCATGATTACCGACTTTTTCTTCTTGGATAAACGAATATCTAAAATATGTATTACATATATTATACGATTATTTGTCGACATCATCATATAATCAGACCCAACCCGTCCCACATTGCCTTCTACTGTCAACTTTTCTTGTAGTAACACCTATCTTGTACTTCAAACGTGAAGGATCTGACGGTTTATATGTGTAAATAATTTGTCGTCCGTCTGATGCTAGAACATAGTTCACTTTTATGACAGCGACACGCACATTGTTAAAGTTACAAGTGACTTTGAGCAATTCCATTAGGTGCGAGAGATGACTAGAGGTGAATAACTTGAGTTCAATTGTGTTGAAAACTTAAGCCACTTGAAATTCTTTTATGCAACTCACCACAGATATATTTAGAGAGCATTCCAAGAAAAGCAAACCAGATTTTATTTAAACAAAAACCTTCGAAAATATCCATTTGTATTATTCATTTTCCGCATTACTTACCACCCCACAGTCAACCTTGTACGCTTTGAAGTTAATAGAAGTCCTAAGTAAAGCATGAGACGTCGCGTAGAATGTCTTTCTTTAATGTATTCCGGCGACATATTAAATAATATTGGCTGACTTTAGCGTCGGGAAAAAATTAGGTGTAATATGTGTCTGACGTTAAAGCCAATAGAATAGCAATTTTTTTTTCATTTAAAAATATATAAATATAGCTATTAAAATATGGAAATTCAAATGTGTGTACCCTACTTTACGTGTGGCAAATATCTATGAATCCCTGGAGCCCTTTACCTTGAAGCCGACCGCTACGTAAAACACTTACTTCAAATGATACGTTGCATAAATAGGAAGTTTGAAGAGTTTTGAATAAATTTAATCTATATAAACATGATATATGCATACCGTGTAGTGACGGTGTAATAACATACACTATCTCATATCATCCCGTGGATGTAACAGGTGACAGAGTGAACAAATCAGTGAATTTCTTGTAACGATTAAAAATTAAAAACTTACGGTTGGCAACAACAAGCGTGGTAACTATGACAAATATCCCCCCTATGACGAAATCTATGGAGAAGCCAGCGGTGGACTTTAATAATATGTTGTAACGGTAACCGTATGAAAGCATAGCTTATTATACCGTAAGATGTAGGATTCATACTATGTAACATGGTATGTTCAGAGGGCTTAAACATTTTCTTTAAACTGTCGGTAGTCGAAGTAAATGTAAACATTGCATTTGTTAAAATACGTCATGTTGCATTTTGCGCAAAGTAGACTGTTGGCGTTTTTCATAATTGTTTTTGGGAAAGTTATATAAAAATGCTTATAACTTCTCTTACACAAGGTTTACCACATTCAGTTTCACCTTAAATAACGGATGTGACAATATTTTTATTTCTTATTTACTATAAATTATGTTTAATCAAATATAATGTTCATTATTTATTATCACTTAATTTTTCCGTGATTATAGTGCTTTGTGATGAAATTTTCTGTATTTTTTTACAAAAATAAATTTACAGAAACATTCAATTTAAAAAAAAAGTATGTTACATAATTCCTTACGGGCATTACATATATGGTACTGTATATTCCCTGTTATTCCTCTGAACCTGTTTAATTTTTTTATTTTGATCTTTGTAACTTAGATTAATCTGGATTTAGACTTCGCACTAATAAAAATTATAGACATTTGAGCATTGTTTTCTAGTTAAATACTCTAGTACTACGCTTAACAAGATCTTACATACTACTAGTGAATAGAAGTAGACGTATAAACCTAGACACATCGATAATTAATTTTAAATTCGTAGTGAATTGCAAATATGCTTATCATGCTGCGGGTGTCGTAAGACGCGACGCGGGGAACAAGTCAGGAGACGGGCAGCACCGTCTTCCTAACACCGACTTCTAAGTTTTTGAACGTCATTTTGAACAGATTATGGAAATGTTATATGTATGAATGATTACTTGTCCCATTTTTTATGAATACAAGGCTAGTATTTAAGCAGTCTTCAGGATCAATTTGATAGAAATGATTTTTCTATTATAACATTAATTATTCTTCTTTTCTTTACAATTCTTCATAAGACCGTAAAATTCTACTTTAAGACGCATGTCTCTCCTTATCGTCACGCTTGTCAGACGGATTAACGATGGCGTAAGCAGACGCTTGCCTCATATCAAGGATCTCCTAGGTGTGCGTTACTTGCAGTATACAGGGCTGCAATTAACCGCCGGTACGACATACTCCGCCGAACGTCGAGTCCCGTGATTCCGTGAGGCGTCGAGGTCACCGGCCCCTAGGTGATTCTTGGCACTTTATGCGTTTCGTTTATTCTGTGCCTAGTCGCGCATTAAAGTGGCACCGTTGCATTTCCCCCAACCCTTTCGTTGTGAAAGGGGTAGGCAGTGCCCATAGTGTGAACAGTCCTTATAACAATATCACCACCATCCGCGTCGCGCATCAACATCTGCTGCCGATCGTTTGGAAGTTAGATAGGGCCTCAATTAGATTACCGCTGACACTGACTGGTAGGTTAGGATGTCAGGGAATGATAAGGGGGAACCTCCTCCGAGAGCAAGAAAACCACCGGACCGACCAGGCGTTTTGGATAGACCCATCGCCTATAGGGACATTTTTAACCCGGAGAGGATGAGAGTTGTCTCATCCTACTCCCAAATACCCACCCGGAAACCTTCGTCGCCGGGTAAGGAGTCCGCACCTAGGGTTGCACTCTCGCCCATCGTACCTGAGTGTACGACTGGGCGTGAACCGCTGCCCTCTCAGCCTCAGCGGGCCATGAAGACACCACGAAGGCATACGCCTCCTGAGACCGAAGCCTCACTCTATGAGAAGAGGCAGCGTATTGGATAACCATCGGAATCATCATCAGCGTCTTCGGATGATGAAGAGCCCCAAGCGGAGACTAGGAAGAAGTCCATACCTCACCTCCTAAGTCACCATCACCACCGCAACAGCCACCATCCATCTCACCGGACCGACGCAGTCACGACTCGGCCCAGTTTGAGCAAGGAGGTGAGGAGTCCTACAGCTGGGGCTCGACAACATATGCAACCCTAGCTGCATCAGCCGGAAAGTCATCTCCGGTACAAACTACCAACCCGTCCGGGTTAGCTCATGATGATGGACAGCGCCCATCAACGAGCTATGCCCACATGGCTGCAGCCCCGGCAGTACCACGACCGCAATCGGCGGAGCAACCTCCAACTGAGAAGGAAAAAGAGAAAAGATATCCGCCGATTGTCGCAGAATGCCTCCCGGACTGGACCAGGCATTTTAAGGTCCTTAATGAGAAGTTGGGCCATCCACCTAATGCCCGTCCGTTCGGGAAAGGAGTTAGGTTCACTCCACAGAGCCCGGATGAGTTCCGTACCATACAGAGGTACATGGTAGAACTCTCCGAAAAGGATAAGACAATGTCGTGGTACTGTTACACACCGGCAGAGGAGAAGCCCACCAAAGTGGGCATCCGTGGCCTGCCTGTGGGCACCGACGTAAAATTGATTGAGGAGGCTATTCGGGCAAAAGGCTTCCCCATCAATTATGTGAAGGCCATACCACCACGTAGGGGCAGACCGGGCTGCCTCTACTATGCACAGCTGGAGCATCTGAGCCTGGAACGGCTACAGCAATTTTACCAACTCGACGAGCTCCTATATATGAGAGGAGTCGTCATCGAAGCCTGGCAGAGGAAGACCGGACCGGCACAATGCCACCGTTGCCAGGCTTTCGGACATGCCTCCGCTAATTGTTTCAGGCCAGTGAAATGCGTTCGCTGTGCCGGTGAACATATTGCCAGCCTTTGCCCAAGGGGTAGAGAGGAGGAACCAAAGTGCGCAAATTGCGCCAAGAACCACACAGCCAACGATCGCCGCTGCCCGGTCCTGAGGAGGATAGCCAGGAAGCAGGGGATCGTATTACCTGGGCTACTACCGGAGAACCCAAAGAGAATCCCCTCAAGTCGCCCAAAGGCTGTCACCATACAGGAGGACGGGTGGGCTACTATCACTAGGGGGAAGGGTAGGCAACCAGCCCCCCCCCACCCCCTCCTGCAGTACCATCAGAAACGGTTGGTCCCACAGATGAAAGGGCAACCACCGGGGCGACTCTCCGACCTCCCGCCAACGACGCCACTGAGAGGCAACCCTCCAGGAGGAAGAGGCGGAGGAACAGGAGCAAGAGAACGGAGCAGCCTCCTCCTCAGGCTGCAACCACCTCTACCCCTACGACTGCAGGACCAATAGCCTCCCAGGCGCAGGTTGCTACAAGAACACCAGCACCACCTACGGCAGGTAAAGCACCTGAAAGGGCCCTGCCAGAAAGCAGAGCTCGCTCTACGCACAGAGCGCGCTCAATGCAAAGGAAAACTACCACCAAAGCCCCGAGACCAGTGCCTTCACAGCGTAGTATAGATCGCAGACCACCAGCGTCCGGCTTCGAGACGGCTGATGCCATCCATAGATTGGTAGGCATAGCCATCGAAGTCGGTACACAAGTCCTGGCCGACATAAGGGCCGGGACTGATCCAGTTACCGCCGTCATGAAGGCGCTGGCATCCCTTACTGGCAAGGCACTATGGAGGATAGCAACCTGCGCCTGTTATATTGGAACCCGGACGGGATCCGTCAAA